TCTGTTCGTCTTCCTTTGGAGCTTTCGCCGTTGTTTTTTTCGGCTTCTATTGGAAGATTTTTCTGAGCTTTTTCTGGCTACTACTCCTGGAATTTGTTTCAGATTTTCGAATCTTGTCTGGTTTCCTCTGGATGTGTCATCCGATTTTTTTCCGAAGGCTTCTCTGAATTGTCACCAGAAGTTTTTCAATATTTGTCTTGGAAGTTCCCCGGAAGCTTTTCCGACTTCTCTTAGGACTTTCTTAAAAACTTGATCTAGAAGAACTACTTTATTCTTTCTCTGGAAGTTTTTCCGACTTCTCCTGGAAAGCAAATTTACCGTTCTTAGCCCAAAAGTTTGAATTTTCAAAATCGGCAAAAATGTAAAATTAATTAAGATAATAAAAACCGATTTCTTTAAACTGTTGATACCCATAAGCTGAAAAACAATCTGGCAACGCTGCGGCATGTAAAGGCTGCAAATCGATGATTCACGCCATTTTAGAATCCAAGGTGGCGACTTCCGGTTTGTGAAAAACTGTCGAATACCCTACAATATGGGTATTTTTGAAGCGGGGACGATATGTAGAAACCAGAAATCGAAATTTCAAATCATTTTGGAATCCAAGATGACGTCTTCCGGTTTGTGAAAAACTGTTAAATAGTCAAAAATATGGATATTTTCGGAACGGGGACGACATGTAAAGGATGGAAATGGATTATTGATACCATTTTTAAATCAAGATGATGACTTTCGGTTTGTGAAAATGTACAGTGGCGTTTCGTTAACCTCAATCTACCTTTGCACCAACTGTCATAACACAAACAATTATCAAAATATTGCTTGCAATGGATAGATATCGAGAAGATGTTCGAGTATGAATATGGCATTAAATCTGGTTTTGAAAGTTGGTGCACAGGTAAAAAGTTAGGCTAAGGGAGGCCACTGATCAAATATCTTACAACATAGGTATTTTCTGAACAGGAATTACGTTTAGAAACCGTAAATCGATGGTTAACGTCATTTTGGAATCCAAGATGGCGTCTTCCGGTTTGTGAAAAACCGTCAAATAGCCAACAATATGGATGTTTTTGAAATGAGGACGACGTGTAAAGGCCGGAAATCGATGATTGACGTCATTTTTCAATCCGAGATGGTGACTTCCGGTTTGTGAAAAACGCAATGGTGACGTACACGGGAACAAATCCAATCACCAAAACGAGACAAATTACTTATGATTTCATGAACATAGCGTGTTTTCATGTTATGAAAATACACCTTGAATAATATTCATGATATCATGAGCTATTTTTGCGTAACACAGTTAAGATTCCCGAAATCATGAATCATCCGAGATGAAACCATGAACTAAATTCATAAATTTAACCTTCAGCATTTAAACCATAACATGTAAAACAAAATAAAATAAAGCGTCAGACTGGATTCGAACCAAGAACATTGGGTTAATGATCCCAAATGTTTGACTTTGTAGCACATGACTGCAGTTGTTGCAGGTATTCAAGATACCACCGAGACCAGCTCTTCTGGAGGTGCTTCTACGTCAGCTTGTACGACTTCAGGTAATTGTCGGGAATCCCAGGCAGGTCTACTTCCAGAACAGCTTGATTACTCCAAACCGGACTGCTCGCTCGGCATCGGGCAGGGAGATCGACTACGCGATCAATCATATGCATTCGTGATTTGTTTGCTTTTTTCTAGCGTCCTGGAGAAAATCTTATCTTAATTTGAAGTGTTTCTGGTTAGTTGACAAGGTCATGTGATATTCGGTCATTGCGAAAAATTGTTTGTACCACTTCAATACTGTGACGCATTTGACCACAAACGTTTGGTTGCTGGGTACATTATCGAAAAGCTTTGGAGAGGATGTTGCTTGCAGCAGCAATGAAAATTAACTCTTAAACAACGATAATTTATTGTGGTCCTGAAAAGAACCGTTCTGTCGTGATGGTTGAGGATGGCGAGCTGTATGTTGTTTGGAACGAGGGTGACGCGCTTGGCATAGATGGCCCACAGTGGCTCACGACGAGCAACTGAATCCGATCAGTAGCGGTGCGGCTTCTTCCTCCTTATCCGGTGAATCGAGGGCTCTTGTGGGCAGCCTTGATATCTAGCTGCTTGCGGGGAGCCTTTCGTTGGGTACTGGAGATAAAGCCGAAAGCACTGCTTTTTTTATCACCATTGCAACTGTTGGACATTTGTGTAAATTTCAATAGTGACCTGTTGAAAATTGGTAAAATGTTAATTTCAGCAGATTCGTAGAAAAGTTTCCAATCGATTGACTTGTTTAGAATTTAAATCCGTCCGCTATTGACAGAGTTATAAATGGTCAAAACCTGACCACTTTTCGTAACGCGGTCGATTTTGTTTTTTGAAATTGCACTCCCAATATGTTGCTGAAAGACGTAATCCTACGTAATGATTCACATCCTGAGTAGTGAGAAAGTCGAGAATTTGTCCATCCAGAAAAATCCTTAGATCCTCCAATTTGCAAAGCATTTGAACTACGTGAACGAAATATAGAACGATATTAGTGAAATTTTAAAAATCTTCCTACTAAATTTCCTGATAAACTTTGTTTAAACCTTTTGTGAAATCTTCATCAATTTTTATCATTTTATTTTGAGGTTATAAAACTCGAAGCTGCAATAATTGCAAACATTATTTTTTAAAGATCTAGCATCTTCCCTTCAAGCAAATCTCACAACAGGCGGAATACAAAACAAACCGGATTAATCAGCTTAAAACTTTCTACACCTTTTTCCCCCTTTCTAAAGTTAAACAAACCAAATCAACACCATCGTCGATGTCAGTTGTAATCTCTGAATCGCCGGAGTCCTTCTCCAAGTATCCCTATGGGTCCGGGGATAGGATTGTAACTTAATCGCCAGCTCGTAGCTCGGCCATCCGCACCAACCCCGGACCATCCAGCAGCGGGGACAAACTGTGTGTTAAATCGACCCATCCGTCCACACAAACTAACAAGGCAGGACTAATTAAATTTCACTTTCAATTGCCTTTTCGTTTCGTTTCCCGCCATCATTTCTCGTTTATATGGGTTTTCCGTCCTTCAATCCAAGTGTTCCAAGCTGTGCTAGGTATGTACTGCGAATGTAGGTTGGTACGTACCGATGAAGCTCTGCTGTCGCTATTTTATTAGTCAGTGACCATGACATTATCAAATTTCCTCTCGCTTTCGGCGTCGGGCTTGGGAGTGCGAGCAGGAAGACTAAACTGAAGCGGAAATCGAAACTAGTCTGCTATAAATGCGCTGTGCTGTAATCCTAAGGATCGCACGCCAAATGGCGAGAATTACAGCTAAGTGACTTAAGTAATTTGGGATCATTCACAAACTACGTGAGAGATTAGGGGGAGAAGGGAACTTCTCACCATTTCTTACAGTTAATGTGGGTTACATTGATAGTTGAATATAATGATGTAATTTACTCTCAACTTTTTTCCGATTAGAAACATTGGTTCCTTATTGAAACTTAAGGCATTTCCCTTGATATCGCATATAGTTTTTATATAGTTTGTGTTACATGTTTGCCAAACATATTGAAAAACAATTTTCTTGCTTTTTGCCTGTTTGAAAAAGCACTCAAACCATCACTTATGCAATGTATTTCTGATATAGCTATCACAAATTAAATGTTGTGTTCTTATTACTGATGATGTTTTCTGATTATATACTCATTCAAAGTTTCATATTTCTTGAACTAAATTGTTTGAGTTTTCCGCATGTTATTCTACATGCATCGAGCATTATCAAAGTAACCCCAAATCAAAATACTGATGTTCGGTCACAAGACTAAAAAAATAGTGCAAATGCAATAATTTTCGTTGAATATATTACTAACGAATTGACTCTAGGATCCTGAGTATTTGTTTAAAAAAAATAAAATTTGAGAAACAGTAATTGATGTTAGAAATATTTAGAATATACTTCAAAAAAACTATCAATGTTACCCCGTTTTACGATACGTAACGTTTACGATTTTCAGAGTTCGGTGGAAATGCTATGTTAATATCACATGAAGCTTTAGTGTGATAATTTATTAGCTAGAGAAAGTTCTGAACAGGGTAGGTTGATAAGTTCCGCTAGAGTACGGCAGTGTGAAAATTTAATAGAAGTTGAAATTGAGTGAAGGGCCATTAATGCGACAGTACTTATCAAACGCACACTCCTTTACCAAGCTCAACGTAAATGGATGAGGGGACTTGAGGTATTTCCTCAAATTGTGGAAGCTTCATGTTGATATTAGTATAGCATTTCCTCCCAACTCTGATTTTAACCGTTTTGATGCCAAACAACTTGAACATGCATTGTATGAGCATGTGGTAAACTGATTTATTTATATAAAAATTCTTCCATTCTCAATATTTAATAATTTTCTGAAAATTATGTAACCGTACTGAGATTTAAGGGAAGGAGAGGGATTTACTCATGGGGGGAAGGGAAGGTCTAAAAAATTCCTTACATAATTTGTGGATGACCCAAGCATTCTATTTCAACAATAATGGAGTTAGAAGGTATTGACATGATTTTTACATGAGACAGGATTCCATACCATTGTCGTCATCATTAGTCTTGACGATTTGCCTAATAATCTCGCACTCGACAACGTGTGACATTATTACCTGCATTATAAAGTTCCACTACAATTTAATCGGATTAAAGAACAGCCTTTCCCGTTTGCCATGTGCTCAACCGAGTTGCATTAAGTGCCACTTCTTCCCCCTTAGCAACATGCTGCACAATCCAGTCCAATTGAATTGGGTCATGAAGATGTAAACGATTCCAAAATTGCTGCTTGAGAGCGATCCTCTTGAAGATATGCCACCATCATCACCACGTGTCTCAAAACTCGCCCAAACAAAAGAGATCTTATCATCGCACCAGGGTCGCCTTAGCGCCAGCCGCAACCCTCCGTTTTTTTTCCACGATTGTGGTTTTTATCATTATTCTAACAGATTTCCGTTCCGTTCCCCTCTCATTTCAGAACACAAACTCGTGATGGTCGGCCTGGATAACGCCGGCAAAACCACCATCCTGTACCAGTTTCTGATGAATGAAGTTGTACACACAAGCCCGACGATTGGATCCAACGTGGAAGAGGTACGTTGAAAAAGCCGAAAATCCTTGCCAATCAACTGAAGCGATAGCTTTGCTTCTGTGTCCGGGATTGTAAGCTCCTATTGTTGTTAGACTTCTTCACATGTACGGAACATAGACATCTAAAAGCAGGGAGTCAAAGACAGGCAGTTTAAGTTGCCATCGGCCAGAAGAGGGTGAATGGGAATTTAGCTTTAATGTTATTCAAAATGTCGACCCATTTGTCCCTGATGGGTCAGTCAGCGATGATGAGGACGGCGACATTGCTGTTGTCGTTGTTGCTGTCAGGTAGAAGGGAACGATTTGAAAATTTATTCAGCTTTTCGGGATTAAGTTATTCTGTAGAAGGATCGATCTAATCTGACGTTTTTGTTGCTGTCGTTGATTTGTTTTTGTCAAGTCCATTCAAAGGGGTTTATCTTGAGGACATTTATTTAATTGAATTCAGGTCAAATGGGAATGGACAAAAACCATTAGGACTCGTCTGAGGACGCGGCAATGGAAGATGAGATTAGGACTAGGTATATTTAAATTATCTTTCAGAGCCAGAAATGCAAATAACTTAACAGTCGTTAAATTCATTTTGAAACATACAAACAAATGTCCTAACAAGCCACGGTACGATGATAATTATAGGCAAAATGGTCCTAAAGTAAAGATTCTTTTTCAATCGGTGGAAAATACCTAAAAAGTAATCGCTCGTGGAACTAAAATCAGTGGATAATAGATTTTTGTAACGGAAAAAAGTTTAAATTTGGTAGTCGCTAGGACCTCAATAAAGAGTGCTGAATGCTGAAATATGAGTGTACTGCCTATAATCGCATAACAGTCCCACATTTTGATATAACAACGGTATCCACTATCAATTGGCATCAATTTCTTTATGATGTGATAAAACTACGGACTTTGATCATGGAAATGTGAAAACAACATCAAGTCAGCTTCTCCCATATATGTCGCATATCAGTCCCATCATGAAATTTAATCGTCCAGAGTTCTACTTGTTTCAGTTCTACTTTTTGAGTTGTCATGTTTTTCGCTGATATAACAAAACATGCAACTTCAATGCAACAGATTTTAACTTTAAAAATTAGTCGAGTCTGGTCGTATCAAGCATCAAGCAATTCTTCAAAATTAGAATATAATATATTGAATAACGCCGAGGAACCTTCCCAAGAATTTCAAAACATGATACAACCAACTTTATTTTCCTCTTTACTCGCTTTTACTCATTGAACATAATATGTTTGGAGTGGATTTATCATCAGTAGCATCATCTGAAGCTTGAATTGTTTTTTTAGGTTGTTGAAACATGGATAATTTCTACAAATTTTAAACATTGACAATTTACATAGTTGAAGATGCTAATTTCAAATAACAGACTGTAGTGGTAATTTTTATACGATAGATGGAGTAGATGAAAGCATAGAGTTGATAGTTCCGTTAGAGTACAGTGTGAAGATTGTATATAGATATTAGACAAGCGAGCTAGGACAACTTTTAAGGAAGGTACAAATCGGGGGGGGGGGGACACCCCTCACCATCCCTCTCCAAAGGGGGAGTTTGGTAAAGAGAGATGAAAAAACCGATTTGTACCTTCCTTAAAAGTTGTCCTAAGCTCTCTATTCTAATATCTATATGCAATCTTCACACTGCCGTACTCTAACGGAACTATCAACTCTATGCTTTCATCTACTCCATCTATCGTATAAAAATTACCACTACAGTCTGTTATTTGAAATTAGCATCTTCAACTATGTAAATCGTTGACTTCACGTAGAAGTAATACTAAAAACATATAGTCAAAGTAAATTGACAATTTGTTTTAAACCTCTCATAACCTAATAAAATCAGAATTGGACAAATTGTCAAGAATTAATTATATGATTTGAGTAATAGCTATAATGAAGATCCGAGAGATGTCGCCACTTCAGTGGTAGGAAAATCATTTTTGCAGTATGGAGAATATCACAAAATCCACGATTTGTGACTAAACATGCTTTCATAGAAGGAAACAAATAAACGAGTGTTTACCTTATCACCATAGTAATATACTCGTGCAATTTTTGTGCATCTAAAACTGCCCATAAAGACGATAATGAATAAAAACTGAAAATTTCCATGCATTTCCAAATGGTTTCCTACCATTCCCATACATTCGAAAGTGACTGGCCCTCTGGATGTGGATGATATCAAAAACAACAAAACATGATTAATTTCGAAAGGAAATAAATGATCACTTTGAATATTCTCCAAGCATCCAGATTAAAGACTGGAACGCGCAAAAATCGTTTCTTTCAGTCAAAATTTATATCACAAAAATCTTCTTATTTTTCAATTCATATAATTAAAGGAACAAATGTCCGCTTATTCTTTTGGTTCACCAAATTCGAACTGCCGTGCCTTCCGCTTAACCCCTTCCATTAAATTATGCACAGTGGTCTCATCGACCTTATTCGCCGCCGAACGCCAGTTAGATTTAAACTGCTGCTGGTTTTCCATGGATATATTAGTTTTTTTTTTTTTAGATTCCTTTTGACCAAGGCCCAATACCGTTCGATAGGGCGGAGTTCTGGGCTGCTGGGAGGGTTGTGGTCTTTGGGTACCACAACCACGTTGTTCGCATCGTACCACTCGATTGCCTTTTTCCCATAGTGGCAGCTTGCCAAGTCCGGCCAGAACAGCACAGGTGTTGCTTTAGGAATGGTAGTAGCCGCTTTTCCAGGCACTCCTGGACGTAGATCTCTTGATTGATGGTTCCCGTAGCAGTGAAAATGCCGCTTTTTAGATCACACGTGCATATGACCTGCCAGACGAGATATTTTTTCGAAAACTTCGATAGTTTGATGGTTTTGAAAATTTCAGCCACCTTCTCTTTTCCTAATGCGGTATAAAATTCCTGTCCTGAAAGCTGCTTGAAATCCGCCTTCACATAAGTTTCGTCGTCCACGACGACACAGCCGAACTTTGTGAGCAGATTCGTATACAGCTTTCGGGACCGCTGCTTTGCCGACGTGTTTTGTTTGTAATATCAGTTCGCCGCCTTCACCTTCTTAAACGTCGAAAACCCGGCTCGTTTCTTGGCCCGCTGCACAGTAGTATGGGAGACATTGAGCTTGCCAGCGACGTCCCGGATGGAGAAGTTAGGATTCCGATTGCCGCCGTTTCCAGGCTTCCTGGCGGTCCCCGAACACTTTTAAAACGTTTTTTTTTTTTTTTCCTTTGGGTTGTTTTTTCCGTCGATCTTGTTTTCCGTGCTGAGCACCAATGCTACCGACGTGCCAGGAAGGCAGCTCCCACACCTGGACCCTACCTATCGACCCATCAACTCATGAACCGGGGACCAACGGCTTTACTTCCCATCCGAAGGAAGGCGTGATCAGAGATGTTATGCCTCAGAACATCCCGGCGGCGCCGACTGGGATTGAACCCAGGCCTGCTGGGGTGAGCATCATAGCAACTAAAGGGTGATACGGTCAAAATTTGGTCAAGGGAAAACGCGTGTAAATCGGTGAAATCGTTTATTTAAAAAATCAAATTAAATTTCTTTTTCATGTTCAATTAGTATAAAATTCAGGAAAAATATTCAGTTAGGCTTCCGCTTTTCCAAATCCGAATTGCCGGGCCTTACGCTTGACCCCTGCCATCAGATTTTGTACAGCCACCTTGTCCACCTTCTTCGCCGCAGAAAGGCCTATTGATAGCCATATACATTTTAACATCGTCAGCGTAGAATAGCCGGCATCCAGGTGGCAGTAGACACGAAAGCTCGGTGACGAAAAGCGAAAACAGAAGGGGTCTCAGATTACTTCCTTGGGGACCGCCGGAAACGTTCGTAAACACTTCAGAACGATAAGCTCCAATCTTAACGCAAAGCGAACGGTTCATATGAAGCATCCAGATACTCCAAGTTTCTCAAGCTTGCTCAAAAGAATGTTGAGGTCTACTCGGTCAAATGCCCTTGAGATCAGTGTAAACAGCGTCGATTTGTCCGCCAGAGTCCATAGTCCGAACGCAGAGCGACACGAATTCGGTCAAATTGGTTGTTGTAACTGACCGTTTTGGGTAGAATCCATGCTGAGCCGTGGAGATGTAATTTTTACAAGAGCTGAAGAGCGTCTCATTGATGATGATCTCGAATACTTTGGAGAAGCAACATAGTGATGTGTTGCCTCTGTAATTCTGGACATGCCTCTTATCGCCTTTCTTGTGGACGGGGAACATATACGAAAATTTCAAAGCCTCAGGAAATTTACTCTCCGTTAGTGACAGATTAGTGACAGATTGAATACCGTCTGGCCCGGCAGCAAACGAGAGTTTCAACCTTTGAAGAGCTAGATTGACGGTATGTTCACTGATGTGAAACGGACGGAGCTCAAATACATCTGTTGGAGAATCGCTTATAGCAATAGTGACTTGATTTGGTGAGGCCAAAGATTCATTGACCGAACTCATGAAATGTTGAGCAAAAAGGTAGCATTTCTCCGCTTCAGATTCAGCGGTTTGCTCACCGAGATGAACTGACAATGGAAAACCGACTTCGTTCATTTTGGAGTTTAGAAACCACCAGAAACGCTTTGGTGCGGTTGAACTCATGCTTCGTAATGTACCAACGATTTTGGCAGTATCTTCGTAGCGATGTAGTCCTATACCGTTTCAGTCGATGCAAGTGACCGTTAGACCACGGTGGCTTTGGTGCGGGGCGGTCAATAGGTACAAATTCAGCCATGATATCCCAAATCAATTGATTGAAACATTCAATGCCATCGTCAACACATCCAGCTAATTCTAATGGTCGCCAGTCTATACCGGAAATAGCAGCACTAATCGCAACATAGTCGGCTCGACGGAAATCCAGTGTACGATTATTTTCGGAATAATCAAAAACGATTGGCACTGGGAGGTTCCTCAATACGTCTAAAGCAGGGTGGTCTGCATTAAGAAAGATCAGAGGTTCTATGGCTTCCGAAACGGTGCATGCCAGCTTCATTAGACAGAACAAGGTCTAGAAAGCGATTTTCTAAGTAAAATTAGAGTTCACTTCTCGTAAGCCAAAATGCGCTTTTCCAAGCAAAATTTGACCTTGCTTCTCGTAATCCAAATTCGTTTGCAATTTTCCAAATAAAATTTGACTTTGCTTCTCGTAATCCAAATTCGTTTGCAATTTTCCAAATAAAATTTGACTTCGTTTCTCGTAATCCAAATTCGATTGCGCTTTTCCAAGTAAAATTAGCCTTTGTTTCTCGTAAGCCAAATTCGTTTGCGCTTTTCCAAGTAAAATTTGACCTATACGTTTCTCGTGATCCAACTTCGATTGCGCTTTTCCAAGTAAAATTTGACTTCGTAACTAACAATTACGGTTTTATGAGGATTTTGTAGGCAAATTATTTAGACTTGTAGAATGCTTTAAAACTACGATAAAAGTAGCAATGTTACTTGGGTACGTTTCTCGTGATCCAACTTCGACTGCGCTTTTCCAAGTAAAATTTGACTTGGTTTCTCGCGATCCAAATTCGACAATTTTCTAAGTAAAATTTGGCATTGCTTCTCGTAATCCAAATTCGATGGCGCTTTTCCAAGTAAAATTTGACTTCCCAAGTAACCAGGGTTCCTTCCATTCATTTCGGCTAAAAAAATGTTATATTAAATTATGGAATAATAAGATATTATGATAATAATTGGTTTGCGTAAGCAACAAGACAATATTGTGAAGTTTGTGTTTGACACATAAAACTTGCAAATTTAGCTTTGACAGAGTCACAATGAGTGGTTTTCTGATCGCCTTTTCGCGAAGAGTGAAGAGTGAAGAGTGGGTGAGATAAATGACAAAATCGCTTATTACGACTCTCATGTAGTAAAATTGGCAGGTATTACGTGTCAAACACAAACTTTACAATATTTCCTTGTTGCTTACGCAAACAAAATATTATCATAATATCTTATTGTTCCATAATTTAATAAAACATTTTTTGCCGAAATGAATGGAAGGAACCCTGCAAGTAACTATTATGTTTTATGAGGGTTTTGTAGACCATGATGTAGACTTGTAGAATACTTTAAAACCACGATAAAACTAGCAATGTTACTTGGGTACGTTTCTCGCGATCCAAATTCGTTTGCTCTTTTCCAAATAAAATTTGACTTCGCTTCTCGTGATCCAAATTCGATTGCGCTTTTCCAAGTAAAATTTGGCTTCGCTTCTCGTGATACAAATTCGATTTCAATTTTCTAAGTAAAATTTGGTTTTGCTTCTCGTAATCCAAATTCGATTGCGCTTTTCCAAGTAAAATTCGACTTCCCAAGTAACAATTATGGTGTTATGAGGGTTCTGTAGACCATGATTTAGACTTGTCGAATGCTTTAAAACCACGATAAAACTAGCAATGTTACTTGGGTACGTTTCCCGTGATCCAGCTTTGAATTTTGCAAATAAATTTTGACCTCGCTATAACAGTATTGGTGGGGCGCGAGATTATGGAATTTCTCAAAGTGGGTCGCAATCGAAAAAAGTTTGAGAACCGCTGGTGTAAGGTATACTTGTGAGTAGAATGCCAAGATAATGCAGAAACGAATTTTATGGAAATTCTGAGGTTAATTTCAAAGATATAAGTAGGAGAGCTTCAAGACTATTCCTGTTATCATTTTTAGATAATTCAAAGAACAGTTCCTAGGGAATTCTGAGGAGCATTTCAAGGAATTTACGGGACAACTGAGGAATTTAGATTATGAAGTTAATTCCATGGGAAATTTAGGAGAATAATCAGTGAATACTGAGGATAGTGTACTTCCGGAGAATTCTTTGGAAAGTTCGTAGGTAATAGAGTGAAACCAATTTGTATTTGTAGATAATTTGTAGAGAACTATGGAGCAAATTGCAACGGAATACCAAAGAGAGGTCTTCGATGCACTATGTGGAAATCTTTGAGAAAATTCTAAAGAAATTATGTGCAGCGATAACAGAAGAAACATCAAGATAAACGATTAAAAAAAACTAAATTCTGAGACTTATATTTTTTATTTGATATCTCATGCTTAGAAAAGTCTTGATTCTGATGAACTAAACAAATTCTTCGATCTGCAACCTTCAATCTAGACCATGAAAAGCTTTCAAGATTCAAATCTAAGGAAAATTTTCTAAATGGTAAGGGTTGATGCATATATTATGTCACGCTCTAAGGGGGGAGGGGGGGTCTAAGATTTTGTGACAAGCAATGCATTAGGTATAGGAAAAACGTCACGATAATTTTTTGCTCGATTTAGCGTGACATAATTAATGCATGGGCCCTAAATTACGAATTTAAAATAAATCAAGAGTCCGAGAATTTCTGGCACTCCAATATTTCATTTATTTTGATCCTAGACAAATTTTCAAAACTTTAAGATTCTGAAACTTTTAGCTATCTTAGGCTTCCTGATGAATGTGGGTGTCTTAGTGGAATACCTGTATAATGAGAGAGAGAAGGATTAGTATTTTCCATTTAATTCCACTACTTTATTTGCTTATCCTTGACAGATACGCGTATTTCGTCTACAATGTGCAGACTTCTTCAGTGTCTTGTACTAATACTCGAGTATTAGTACAAGACACTGAAGAAGTCTGCACATTGTAGACGAAATACGCGTATCTGTCAAGGATAAGCAAATAAAGTAGTGGAATTAAATGGAAAATACTAATCCTTCTCTCTCTCATTATATCTTAGGCTTAGCAATGAAGTGATAAATCCTGAAACCAAATGTCTGAAAGAATTGAATCAGAATTATCTGTAATTCAGTTATGAATAAAAATAGCTTCGTTAGAATCATTCATCTGCAACATTCTATTGAACTACCTAAACAAAAGCTGCTTTTCCAAAGATCTTCCTCTTATTTCATTTGCATATGTCCAAACAAAAATCACCGATTTTTCATGCTCTATTTCTCCTATAATTTCATCTCGGACTCGGCTCGGCAACATCTGGTCCACCATCCGACAACGATGACCAAAACAACAATGACCTCAACCAAAACACCAACGCCTGGCCTGCAGATCGTATGGAAAAACATTCACTTTCTGGTGTGGGACCTGGGCGGTCAGCAGAGTTTACGGGCAGCTTGGAGCACGTATTACACAAACACAGAGGTAAGTAAGGCTTCCTCGTCCACTGGATGCACCGCACCGTGCGTCTTTGGAATTGGTTTCACGTGTTCTCGTCAAGTCTGGTGCGGACGACACGCTCTTTAAATTACCTACCATACCAAGCTGTATTATGCGTTGATGCACACGAGTAATCCAAAAGAAGACAAACATGTGCCTTTTGTGTTTATTTTTGTTTTGGGTTCTTGGTGTCTCCTCCCGCGCAGGTCGTGTGTCTTAACAGCAGCAGCAACAGTCCATGTCGCGCCAGTTCCATTCGGGGTTTATTTTTAAACAAACATGTGCGCTCGTTACATGCAACTAGAAAGCAACAACTACCTACTGTTCAGTGTTTTGTAAACAAAATTTTATCATGTTTTTCTTTCCTCTGCCTTTTCCTTCTTCTTCTTCGGTCCGTATGAATGAATTCACCGTCACGACCCGGCGGCTCTGCAACAGTTTATCATAATGGTAATAGATTCGACAGACCGGGAGCGGTTAGCGGTGACGAGGGAAGAACTGTACAAAATGTTGCAGCATGAAGACTTAACCAAGGCTAGTTTGCTAGTGTATGCCAATAAGCAGGTGAGATCGTAAATGAAATATAAAAGTGAAAGGTTGATTTCGATAACTGATCTTGTTTTCTTTTAGGATTTAAAAGAATCGATGAGTGCAGCTGAAATTTCCAAACAGTTAGACTTGACCTCAATCAAGAAGCACCAGTGGCACATACAGTCCTGTTGTGCGCTAACGGGCGAAGGGTAAGTTTTGAATATGTTTTGAAATCGAGTGCTGGTCGTTCGACATTTGAAAAGCTTCAAAAGGAAAGTCCTGTGGAGTTACAGAAGAAATATTTTTTCAGTGCGAATTGTGTTTATCTTCCCTTTAATCTTGAGTTTACATAGTGCATCAGAGATTAACTTGACCTGCTTTTAATTGATGCCCATTCTTTTTCTCAGACCGGTTCAGTACAGTTTGCACCTTCGCATCTGCTGCACCGTAACTATTCAGTTGGTTGGCATTCGTCAAACAAAAGGGCGTAATAACTATGCAATTTTCAGAAGGTTTTGACGACAAAAAGGTGCTGTTCATAAATCACGTAGAAAGTTTTTGTTAGAGGTTTTAAACCCTTCCTCCTCCTGCGTAAACAATCCTCAAAACATTTTTTTTTTAAATTTGTATGGACACATCCAGACTGTCTGCGTGGTTTATGAACAGCCCCTAATGCCTTAAACGTCAAAATTATCTTAAAATCGCAGGGTTGCAACAACCTGGAATTTCGCCACCAATCCGGGTTTTTTTTTCGGAAACAATGTTCAATCGAGTTTATGAATCTGTTTCTTTTGTGTTGCTTGTTGATTAATTATATTTCCAAGTTCCAGAGTCATTAAAGTCCATGGACTTATTTTTTTTTGTAAATCTAAAAAATCCTTAAAAAGTTTCAGTATTTTCTAAATTTTTACATGTCCGAGAATAAGATTTCTTAAATTTGTTAGAGATCTTCAAAAGTCCCAGAATATTGAATTTTTTTTAGTTCAGTGTTAGTTAATCTTGACAGCTTATCATAGACCGAGTTTTGGAAATTGTTGACCTAGATGGTGGAAACTTTTTTAATACCGTGGACAAACGGAAATTTTGCTGAGATCTCAGCAGACCATGTATGACTGAAAAAATTCTCATTTCTTATTGAACACCCGTTAATAAATTATCATACCAAAGCTTGATGTTAGATAGCATTTCCAACCAACTCTGATTTCACAAGTATTTTATGGATAATTTTAAGGTGAATTTCGAGGATAGTTCCAACAACATTTTGAGGATAATTTCTAAGGAATTCTGATGAGATTCCAAGGATATTCCGGTTATAGTTTTTTTATGAAATACAAAAGAGAGTTCCAAGAAAATTATGAGGAGCATTTCAAATAATTAATAGAAATTCTGAGCAGAACTAAAAAGTAATACTGAGTGCTTGCTGAGGAGAACTCCAGGTGATTTTTTCAGGAGTATTTTGGGGGGAATTGCTTGAATTATTAATCATATGAATAGCATTGCAAAGTAAATTCAGAGAGTTTTCTGCAGAAGATTTTCAAGAGTACCTATAATAGATGAAATTATAAGAGAATCAAATTTTACCATAACAAATTTCGGTATCCTGAACACAAAAAGGATTAAAATTAAAGGTTAGGGAAAAATAAATGGAAATTCTAAGACTAAGATTTTTTAAGATGTCATGCTTAAAAAATATAAGATCCAAGACTTGAAAAAATCTTCAAGGTTCAGGGTGTTTTATTTAAAATTAAATATTCCTGACATGGTTGGGGATTAGGGAGATCATTAGGGAACGGGAGAAGTTTTCAGGTTCCAAAACTAGTAAATATATTTGAAATTCCGAACTTTGAAATTTAAGGTTTCGAACTTGAAATTAATCAAATGGCTGAGACTTCATTCTTATAAGTCGAGGACTTTGACACTTTGAAAAGTTTATAAATTTTGGACTTAGAGTTCGAAACTTGTAGGCCTTGAAATTTTATAAGATCTTTGCCTTAAGTAAATGTTAAACTTCGACTTTAAATGGTTTTAGACTTTAAAGACTAGTTTTACAGTCTCTGAAAACTGATTATCTTGTCTTGAAATCGTTTGTGGCAACTAAGTTGTTTTTAAAAATACCAAATTTTTTAACGCAATCAGACAACAGCTTATAAACATGGAAATTATCCGAAAAGATTTCTGGAAGACTCAGGAAATTTTATTTAATCAAATGAGTAGACACCCTTTATAAGAGCCAGCTAAAACGTTACTTCAATTTCATTAAATAAATTCACAAGAGAAGACGACGAAGGCATAAGAAGCTCCGATAAATTCAAATAATATTGTAGGATAAACAACAGAGATATAACATCAAGATTAAAGATGGTTTCAACTTACTGATTTGTTACAATTTGTCAGCATCAGTTAGATTAACTTTGACATAAAGATATGTTAACTGTCATAATACCAAACCTGCAAAAAGCGTGGCGATGAAGTGACACAGCACGCCTGTCCCGTTGCCGTGAAGCGAGCTTTTGCAGGTTTCAATTGGGTTGTTTAACTTCGAAAAATATATCGATTTTTATACATCATCTGATAGAGCTTTGTTTTCTGAGAACAACGACATTTTTATCGATCCCGTAGACATTTATCTCGATTTTTAAATCAAAATTTAAATTTTTGATCGTTGACACTAAATCTATTAGTTGACAGCTAGCTCCCATACAAAGTCCCACCAAGGGGCGCAAAGATGGTGATTTTTGCTAATGTAATTGTACTTATTTAAAATAGTTCCAGTGTACCAAAATTGATGAAATTTAGGGTTTCGGTTCCATTTTTAATGCAGATAACGAATATGTACTTACCTCAATACCCCTAAACAAACCAATTGGGTTCTTTAAGGGTATTGAGGTAAATGCATATTCGTAATCTGCATTAAAAATGGAACCCAAACCCAAAATTTCATCAATTTTGGTACACTTGAACTATTTTAAATAAGAACGATTACATTTGCAAAAATCACCTTATTAGCGCCCCTCGGTGTCACTTTATATGGGAGCGAGCTGTCAGTTTGTTAGTTTAGTGCCAAACAGTGAAGTTATTATTTTGCTTTAAATCTTGATTTAAAAATCGAGATGAAAGTGTGTAGGTTCGAAAAAAATATCGTTGTGCTCAGAAAACGAAGCTCTTTCAGATGATATATAAAAACCGATATATTTTTCAAAATGGAAGAACCCAATTGCAATATTGTATTTCAATTGAATACTGCAGATTTCAATTCCAATATAAAAGTTTAAAGTGTAAGCATCTTAATCATTCTGTACTTCAGTACCCGCAAAGTGGAAACGGACATGGAATGAGCGCATTTCTTCCATTTTGCCCGCATTTACTGGATGTCCTTAACTGCCCCGCCGCTTCGTCGAAGTCGCTGCTTTTAAATTGCCCAGTATTTTTCGATTGGTCTAAATTCCGGGCATTTCGGAGGATTCATTAGCTTGAGGACAAAAGCGATCTTGTTGGCAGCATACCACTCCAGAACCACCTTGGAGTAGTGGCAGCTGGCCAAATCGGGCCAAAAGATGACTTTGACCCTAGGCTTGCGGATGAACGGCAATACACGCTTTTCAGGCATTCTTCGATGTACACTTGGGATGTCATCGTAGAGGATGTGACAAATGGTTCCGTTTTCAGGCCACAACCGCAAATCGCTTGCCAAATCATGGCCTTCTTCGCGAACTTTTCGGCAAACGCAAACTTGAATCTTCCCGGGACATCCCCACGTCCAGTTGCGATGTAAACTTTTTGTCCGGGAAGGTGCTTAAAATCGAGTTTGACGTATGTTTCGTCATCGATCAAAGTGCAGCCCTTGTGTTTCGTCAAAACACGGTCTTGCACGCTTTTTGGCCATGGAGTTCTGCTTCATGTGCCGGTGCTGATGTTTACTGGCTTTGTACGACTTGTATCCTTCCCTGGCAAGGATGTTCCGCACCGTTTGAAAGTTGACATTGTACCTTCTGGCCACATCTCGGATCGAAAGAGCTCCTTTCCACATTCAGGGTTTCGGCATCTTCAGCACTTTAGCCAGCTTGGAACCGGACCACTCCGGATTTTCCAGGTGTTTGTGCACAATATTTTTTTCTTCTTTGGAGTTCCATTTGACTGCTTCTTTGATCAAACTTGCACCAGTTGTTCTCTATAAAAGTGTAAACAAACCATTGTCAAAGATTTTCGATTCCCAACAGTAGAGGCGTGCTAGCGGCGCACGAGGGGCGTGCCAATTTATTTCTATGCAGCCTTTGGCCTACGCTTTTAGGAATTTCTCCGTAGGCGAATGAGTAAAAGTTACTCACTCTCTGAGTAAGATTCGTTTTCAGTGCCTTAACATTAATTCCGCATTTTTTGTGATAGCAGTCCCTTCCGCAATTTTCGCGACATTTTTTAATGTTTCCGCGATTTTCACGACTTTAAGTTCAAATCCAAACAGGCTGCTGACGGAATCACTAATATTTTTATTTTCAATTCCGTGATATAGACATCCAAGACCGTTATTTTCAAATTTGTCCAGGTTATGAAATTTCAATTTTTTCCCTTTCCTGTGATCGCGAAATTGCCATAGACTCATCCCCAATTTTCAGTGGTTTCGAAAAGAAATGCTAGATCCAATATTCTGGCTATTTTACTTCTTGATCTTGAAAGGTTTCCAAGCCAAAGATGCAAGGGGTAACTCGCTCTGCCACCTTGTGACTGTGCTGATTGTGTTTCATGTGTCTTTTTGGGTGTCGAATGATGTTTCTGTGTCGAACGAGCTGTCAGAACGTCAAGCGGTAACCATACAATGTTTACTGGCAACCATGACCTCCACAACGCTGAAAATGCCATCGTAATTGTTCATTGGCGTTGACGGTGTCTCTGTAGCTCTTTACTCCTATGGTAAAATCCAATAGCAAACGTCAGACTGTGCGTGATGCATTGCGGACTTTGAACTATCCTTTAACTGCACCGAAAATTCCCATAAGATGCTGGCTGTAGCCGATCACTAGATCGTTTGAGTCGACCCGATGACAGCAACCAGAGGATGTATGATTTTCTGATATTAAGCAATATTCCAGTTAGATGTAGGCGGAAGGTGCAAGGAGTGCCATCAGGAACGTGGTGACACATCAGCTCATAAATTATTAAAAATGCACAGAGCCTGCGGCAGAAAAATAGCTTATAGGCTTTTTCACTAGAGTGA